AAAGAGAAAAGAGAAAGAAGCCAACACAGCAGGAAACAATTGACTGCAGAAACAGAGTGCAGGTTGAATGTCACAGATGACTTCTTATATCCCTGCAGGTTATGATTTATGTTGCTTCATGTGCCTCATTAAAAGTCCATCCATTTACTCATTTTGATTTCAGTGTTTGAAGTGGAATGAAGAAAATAACCTACAGAAAAAAACACACTTTAATTTTTCAGAAGTGAGGTGTTTACCTGCTGTGTGTGTGTGTGTGTGTGTGTGTGTGTGTGTGTGTAGTATTAGTAGTAGTAGTAGAAATAGCAGGATTCAAATTAACGGCGGAATTTACTGAGCATTTATGTAGCGTGACTGGCAGCGTGCGTGTGTGTGCAGAATAATTGGGACTTCAATGCCCACAATCCCCACAGACCGCTCCGCTCCCCTCCGCCGCTCACACCCATTCCGCGGCAGGGTCGGTACCCGATTGGCCCGATTCCCTCATGACATCAGGACCCAACGTGGGGGTACCCTCAGAACGATTGGGTAGAGCGAGGCACCGTTTGGGCCAATCAGAATGCACAGAGAGACCTCGAACAAGGAAGAGCTTTTAAGGTGGAACCGTAGAGTTGCTGGTGTCGTTTCCAGCAGTGATTGAGATGTGTACACGGTTAACTTGAGCTTCCCCTCGTCGTTACAGCGTGCTGTGGATGTAAGAAAAAGTACAAAACACGCACAGATACTTAACTGACAGGTGACGGTGCGAATGTAAGTTACATCGTCTCCAACTGCCGTTATCTTCTGGTTTCAAGGTTGAGGTTCATGTAAAAATCCTGCAGCTGTCTTCATCTCTTGCGGATTTGTTTGTTTTTGTTTTTCAACTAGCTCGCTCAAGTCTTCACCAGACAATGGTTGTGTTTTTGTAGCAGTTTGGCACCGATTTACGACAAAAAAAATTGACAAAATGATCCTGTTTTGGCACATTTTAATTTAAGGACCCCCCCAAACATGAGCTCCAGATGCACATTTAGTAGCATTTTCATTGTAGTAGCCCACAACACTTGAATGGCCTGACACTGAAGGAATTTAAGCTCTACAGAAAGATTTACATTTGTATACACGTTCAATTTTAAAGTAACATAAAATATTATCTTACTGAAGCTGCCCAGTGTAGTTTGACCCTATAGGGGCCTCCTGGACCCTTCATTGTAGGCCCCATTCCTCAGAGGCAATGTGAGCCTTAATAGTGCTTAAATATATAAATAACTGCCTGCTGACACAAATGACTGTGCTATTCTGCTCGAAATGTTTACCACTGTTATTAGCTGATGTAATGAATACACATTAGTAGCCAGCTTATATCATTTGGTACTGCTACTTAGGGCTTTGAGAGCTGAAACCACGGTGTCTTTACCGCACCCATGCAGCCGGCTCTGCTCCTCTTTGCTTCAGGCTTTGCTGACCTTCACTCTGAAGGAGCTGACTCTCCTCTGTGGATCCCCTCGGCGTGTCTCCCTGAACTTCCTCACGTATCACAAAGGCAGAGGTCAGTAAAACGCACTCTTTCTGATGTATTCAAAATCTATAGAGAAACGGCAGTGGCTCATTCTCTGCATCTCTGTTGGAAAATTAATTTTAAAACCGGCAAATGAATATGTTTCTGTTCTTTTATTTGATTATTTAGAAAATATTTGCAATTTAAATCTTTTGGTGAAAGGGGGGAGCTGAAAGCAAACATACCCTGACATGTTAAAGATCAAGGCAGTATTAAGAACATTGAATACAACCTTTGTAACTTCTGGAGTGTGTTGATGTCTGTCCGTGTGTTTGTATGCCTTCCCATCCTGTCTGAATAAACCCCAGTGTGAGGAGTCGGGGGACTAATTACCTGCATAATCCTTTCTAGACAATTAGATAATGCTGATTAGTACAATGGGCTACTTGGGGAATGGTGGTGTTGGTGTTGGAGGTGCCATTGAATGACGATGTGTTAGAGAATACTGAAGGAGAGATTTTGAATGAAGGCAGATGGGAAAGAGGAGGAGAGATCGCCAGTTTGTCCAAAAATGGAAATGATTTATCCTCTGGGAATCACAAATGTCCTCACCGAATATCACAACAATCTATCCATCGGGCTGTAATGGTTCTTTTGTGCAAGTGTTAGCACTGTGGCCTCACACAGCATGAAGGGCCCCGGGTTTGAATCTTGGGACAGCTTGTGTCTTTCTTTGTGGTGTCAGCTTTTACACCCTCTGTCTGCGAGGATATCCTTTCACAGACTGAAGACGTGCAGGTCAGGTAACTTTGAAACTCTAGATCGCTTGTAGTGCAGGTGTGAAGGTGCTAAGGCACCTCTCGACCAGTGTGTGCTGGGGTACGCTCCCTGTGCCACCCTGGACAGGATAAGTGGAGATCGTAGCCAGATGGTGGTACTATTTAGATGGGATGTCTTCATACTCCACGCAGGATTTCCTCTACGACTCAAACCTTTTTTGAATTTGAGACAACGCTGTTGATGAGGAATGATGCTGGCCAATGAGACCTCTGTTGCTGCCCTTTGGCTTGTTAATTATTTGTTTACATTGACTTGCATCTCATTCAAAGCTGTCCTTAAAGGGCAACTCGGTAACTTTTGCTAAACGACGAGTGCTGTGGCCACGAGTTGTAATTAAGGATAACGATATGTTGGATTTTCCTCTGTTTTCTAGGATTCCCCTGTGTTAGTTGCTTTATGAACATCATCATAAGGGGCCATTAATGATAGCGAGCAGCACATTGTGTTTATGTCTTGTTACACTTTGGGGGTGAAGATTGGGTTATAGTTTCAACCTGCTTAGTATCAGCGATCTCAAGCTGTTAATACAAGCCCTTCATCACTGTTGTTATCTCAACATCAAGATGATGCTGTATACGTTCTTTCCCCCTCTAAACGTGCACTATCGTCCACTGCGTCCTCTCCTTTGTGAGTACGAGTTAAACCAAAATGACTCATCCACTCGTCCCTTCTCCCCTAATATCCAGACAAATGTTTACATGCATAGTTTCTTACTCCAAACAGTACAATGCTTACTTACCGTTAGATCAGATAGTGGGGAAAAAAATGCCAAAATTAGTCGCAGTGCAAATTCAAACAAACTTAGCGGAGTTTTAATGTGTTGACATAAGCCAGCATTAGGTTTCCCCAAATGGATCTATAGTGTTTATTAATAGACTGCATTGGATAATAGGATGTCTGCGGTGACCTAAATTGAGGATTTGGGGCTGCCCCCTGGCTAACCCGCTTGTTATCAAATGCAGTTTCTGTCTTACTGGAAATCCTCCACGGATGCCAAGACCGACTGTGTCCGATTCTACATTGTCGGATTAATGGCTGTTTGATTAAGTTCAAAGGCAGAGCGGCCCTGGATAAACTCATTATAAACAGTGCCAAATGGCGACTGGGCCAGACTGGTGTACTGTACATGGAAAGGCTTTAAATACCAGGTCTTAGTTGGTCCAGGTCCACTCTGGGCATTCCTGTAAATAGCATGTGCACTAGAGCCAGCAGTCAAAAGTAGGCGGGAGACATTGTTATCTTGCTAAAGCTGGGATATGTGTGGGCTGTTACAGTGATAGTCCTCCAGATACTCGACTTATTGATTTTGATGACATCTTAGGCGGTAAGTGGACTTTGCTGTGATGCTTCTGCGTTTTGACAGATATCACTACACAATGTGTGGCCCCAGCTTTAATGCCCATTTCTTTTAATTTTCTATAGTACGTAGCACCCTTTTTTTTTTTTTTTTTACGGGGGGCTGCCCGGTGTTTCTGTCTCTTCCAAACAAACCGCTGTTGCTGCTTTGGGAAAAGAGAAATGAATCACTTCCTGTGTGGCATGTGTTTCCCCCCCGAAAGACCACCTACCATTGGATGGTTAGAATAGCAAATGTAAAAACTGAGTGAAATCAATATAGTATCCTGTCAGCTGGCAATAGAAAGAAGTAGGAAAAACATTCACACAACCATATGTATCACAGTAGTCAATATATCCAACATGTTTGGGACGTGTGTGACGAGCTTACTGTTTAGAGAAGCTGTCCTGTGCTATAAGTGCGATTCAATGAGCGAGACGCTCAGCTGTGTGTCTTGATTCTTTAGGCATTATGATTATAACCAGAGACAATAGTCTCGTGTATTGCAGCTGACATGTCTCTGCTGGTTTGTCTGAGCTGAATTTACTTGTTGCTTGTTAAAATGGTGCCGTGTGTATCTGATTTGTTTCCGTGTTTCCACTGTGTGTTCACGCCGGATAAGTCACACAATCAACTGGGTACATTTTTTTTTTAAATTTAGGTTTGTAATTGAATTAATATAATACATGCAAACACATTAAGTGGCTGCATTTACTGTCTAATATTTCGATGAACCAGTATTGATCTTATTTTTGTGTTGCTCTTTGGTTCGAGCGTCTGTTTGGGAGGATTGACGTATGTGGTTTGACACGGGGATGCACGTACAGCTGACAAACATCTGGATGCAATGTGCCTCAGACCACTTCCTGAGGAGGTTTGAGCAATCAAATCAGTTCTCTATTGCATCCCAAGTATGTTTACACCTGGATTTATATGTGATAAAGCATGAGTGGATAGCTATCCAATCATCCAAGACGCATTTTAATGCAAGGTGTAAACTGGGTAATAAACTTATCACTCTGAGTAACTATTATGTGTGTGTTTGTGTTGCGTCACACGTGTGTCCACATATCTGTCCTGAATTTGTGTACGAGTGTCGGAGCGTTTGTGTGTGGTTGTGTGTGTGTGTGTGTGTGTGTGTGTGTGTGTGTGTGAATCTTGATTCATATCAGTTTGAGCCTAAGTCTTTGTGCATGACTGATTGCTTTGTCTGCCTGACCGCAATTGAAAAGAGATCCATCTCCCTCTCTGCCTCTCTCTCCCTCCCTCTCTCTGTGTGACTGGGTGTCTCTATCTGCTCAGTTCCACCTTAAGAGGAGCTTTAGCAGCCTGTCGTGTTTGTGTTGAAGCCAACAGGCACAATATATTACAGTCTAGGGCTTGCTGCTGAAAAGCCCGCTGGATCCTCCACTGACCTGCTGTTCTTTCCTGCTTTCCTCTCGTGTTTTTTCTTCATTTAGATTAAAAACAAAGCTCTCACTCACTCTCTCTGTCTCTCTCTCTCTCTCTCTCTCTCTCTCCCTCCTCCTCCCCTCCCTCCTTCTTCTCCTTCTTGTTCTCCTTCTTTTCTGCGGCAGCAGTCAGGGTAGAGGCTTCAGTGTGTCAGAGAGAGGGTGAAGAGGAGGAAACAGCAGAGAAGACAACTATTAGACTAGCTGAGTGTGTGTTTATGTTTGGGTGTCTCACCATTGGACGGCCGGGTGAAGGGGCACTAGGAGAAGAGTACGAGGAAGAGGAGGAGGAGGAGGAGGAGGAGGAGGAGAGGGAAGCCTGAAGCCTGCCTGGATGAAATTCTCGGTGTCATGTCACTACGTGTGGACCTTGACTGATCACAGGGGCGAGGAAAACTGATCACAGGGTGAGGAAAGGGGGGGGGGGGAGGCACTGAGAGGAAGACGGGGAGGTGGAGAAACTGAGACTTTGGTTTCACTGTGGGAAAAGAAGACGGAGGAGGATGCAGGAGGGGAAGTCTGGTTTTATCGTGACATTGTTGGATAAACGAACCCACGGATTAAGCACTCTTCAGCTGTGTGTGTGAACAGGAATTCGCCTTATAGGAGAGAAGAGAGCGAGGAGGAAAAGACCGAAAGAGACTCCGGAAGAGTATAGACTGCTTGTGTTCAACCCAGCTAAGGAGCAGGGACTGGACTTACAGAGAGTGTGTGTGTTGGTCTGTGAGTGTGTGTTCGTGAGGCTGTGTAACCGGTGGAGGGCAGAGGAGTGGAGGGCCAGGGGACTAACCTGGCCATCAAACGGACTGGCAGCCTCTCCTCTCCTGGGATCATGTACCCTCAGGGCAGGCATCCGGTAAGTACCTCCTTATGTCTCTTTCTCCTGTCTGTCTGACTCTTTTTCTGTCTCTCTATCTCCATGTATGTCTCTCAACTCCAATCTCTCAGTTGCTTTTTATGTCTCAGATTCACCTTGTCACTCGTGTCTCCCTCTGACCCCTTTTTCCCTCTCTGCCTCTCTTCATGCCTCCCTGCTTGTCTTATCCTGTGTCTTTCCTCTTCTTACTTCCTCTTGGTCTCTCCTTAATAAAGTAAATATCTATCTATCTATCTATCTATCTATCTATCTATCTATCTATCTATCTATCTATCTATCTATCTATCTATCTATCTATCTATCTATCTTATGCCTCTCTGCTTCTCGGTCTCTCCTCGTCTTTGTCTTTCTGTTCTTTTTCAGCCTGTCCTTGTTGTCCCTCTCTTGTGTTTAGTTATGAGAACTGTACTGTAACATGAGGAGTGAGACGTGAGGGAAAGGTTAGGACTAAGAGATTCCCTGTTATGTACACACACACACACACACACGCACACGCACACCACCTCCCCCTCTGTCAGCTGTAACCAGGTGCATTTGAGATCTTATTGTTTAGCTGTGTTTGTAGTACATAACTGAATCTGCACTTCTCAGCTTGTGTGTGTGCGTGTGTGTGTGTGTACACATTGGAGTTTCCACTTTGTTTACCATAAGGTAAGATAATCCTTCATTAGTCCCACATAAGTTGTCTCTAGGTGTGTGTCTACGTGTATACGTTTGTGTACATGTGTGTACATGTGTGTGTGAAAACAGATCTGCGTAAATTTCTCAGTACAACTCTCAGCTGTCCACCTGCTCATTTTGGTTGCCAAGTAAGCACGCACGCACACACACACACACACACACACACACCTGCCGTTTAATTGATGGTTAAATTACTTTCCATCACTACGAAGAAAGGCCGTGAGTGCTTCCCCTTCAAAGTTCCTTCCCTCCTTCAGTTTAACCCTTCATCAGCAGCGAGAGTTTGCCATTAATTTACCTGCTGGGGTAGAATACAGGTTAAAGGCATCGACTAAAAAGCACTGAAGGATGAATGACAGCTTAGGCTCAGTCTGGTTTAGGCCACTCGTTTCACAGGGGCCCCGGTCCGGTTGCTATAATCAGATTTGGTTGTCAGTCTCTTTGTATCTGGTACAAATGGGTCAGTGGCCACTTTGCCTCGCAGCCAGCCAGCCAACCGCTCAGTCAGCCAGCAAGCCAGCCAGCTAGCTATCACACAGAATTATGAATGACATTTTCACAAGAGGAAGGCATGAGGAATCAATTACATGTACAGAGAGAATGCTAATAAGGCAGCCGCTGAAATAGAACGGAGAGAAACAGGAGAGGAAGCGGAAAAACAAAGGGAGAAAGTGAAAGATGTAAGAGCCAAGAAAAGAGATAGGTAGAGAAAGAATTCTTTAGAAAGGCCGGGGGTGGAAAGAGAAATGAAAATGAATGAGAGATGCAACGGAAGAATCGAGTGTGAACATTCCTCTGTTCTCTCCTTTAGAGGCCTATCAGAGAGCTTCCTGCTGCGATGCTCCGCGTTTGTGATAAAGTTCAATGCCAGATTGAGCCAACTCCAACCGATCGATAGCCTCCATCTCTCTCCTTCTGTCTCTCTTCTGTTTTTCTCCCTCTTCTCTCTCCCTCCCTCCTTCTTCCTCTGAAGCCCTTCTCTGCCAGTGGAACTTTATTTCTGGTGTTGCTATGAAATGTGATCTGTGGAGAGGTGTGAGGGTGCAAAGAACGGTGGTGTGTTTGTGTGCGTGCGCGCTTGTGTGTGTGTGTGGTTACAGACGGCGCGTATGAGCATTAGATGCATGCGTTTGTCCTCAAAAACGCAGAACAGGATTACTTGTAAAATATGCTGTTTTTCCAGGCACAGCTAGAGCAAAACCCCGGTCAAAACTCTCGCTCCTTGCTGGTGCATCTGAGGAAGATCCAATATCAACAATCATAGTCAATCATCATCTATCACTTGAGTAACTTGCTGTTCGCTCAGTAGCCTCGACGTGTCCTTGTTGGTGTCAGTCAGAGATCTCGGCCTGACTTCTTGTCAGCTGCAGACAGCAGAGAGGACAGAACTGCCTTGAATGCCGCTGCTTTCAACCTCTCTGTGTCCCTTTGAAAATGAGAAGGAAGGTATCTCAAGGCTGCTCAAGCAGTGTTTTTCTTTTGTTTTTTTATCAGAGAAGAAGACAGACTTTGTTCTTCTCGCTCTCTGCTAGGAAAAGGTTAAAGCGCGAGCCGAGCTGTAATTGCTTTCACTGGATTTTTGTGGCGAGCATTGTCAGGACTTTGTGAATGTGTACATGTGTGAGCTGTGTTCTTTGTTTAAAGGGTGGTCGTTTGTGTGTGTCATTCGTTTTTATGTGTCTGTGTCTCTTTAGTGCTTTGTTAATGTATACGTGTTGTGTGTAAATGTGTGTGTGCCGGTGTGAACGTCTCCTGTGGGAGGTTCATTTTTGTTTTATGTATTCATTTGCCCTTAAGTGCAAAGCGTCTTTGTGTGTAAGTATATGTATGTCTTGGCGTGTGTGCACCATGTTCGTGTTTGTATTTGTCCTTGTGTTCCTGTAAAAGTACTCGTGTGTGTGTGTGTGTGTGTGTGTGTGTGTGTGTGTGTGTGTGTGCGCAGCTCTTAGAGTGTGTGTGTGTGTTCAGATCTGGGAGAGGAAGGGGAAAGGAGAGCTGTGGTTCGTGTGCATTGTGTGCCAATAACAATAAATAATGTCTCAGTCCGACCTCGACTGTTGCTGTGAATGTACAAGACCCTTGATTGGCTGCCGCACCCCAGTGAGAGAGGAAGAAAGAGAGGATTTACTGTGTTTTCATGGTTAAGAAAGATGTCTATAACTGCTACCCTTTACACCATTTTACACATGTATTCGTTTAAGCGCTTACGCCATCACAAACAAACACCTCTTCTCAAGCCTGCAGGTTTCTGTTGTTCTTCTGGCACCTTTACTTTAAAGTAACTTTAAAAACTGTTGTGCGAGTATGCATTCAAATCTGTCGCTCTATGTGTGCTTCCTACCAATTTGTTCTCAGCCCCGGGAGCTGTGGTGCCTGTAGTCTGGAGGATCAAGATCAGACCGAGTTTATTCAGCAAGCGTACGATAAAGAGAGACGGAGACAAGTGTGAAAGAGAGAGAGAGGGAAAGATGGACTTGGCCCCGGTTTAATTGCTGAAGGTGTAGATTGTTGTCCATCTCTTGCAGCAGTATCGTATGACAAAATAACACTCCGGATACATAATTAAATCTGCTCCAATCATTATTAGTGAATCATGCATGGACATCATTCAGTCCTTATTTGCTTTGGAAATGTACAGTACGTCCGGACTATAAAGCATCTGTTGAATTATGATCAGGAGGGTGTGTGTGTGTGACGGGAAATGCTGAAGAAGAAGTGGGACGTGCACTACTCTGTGTGTGTGTGTGTGTGTGGCACAGACTGAGTAACTGTTGGAAAACCGTTGCAACTAAAATGTATAATGTGTAAGAGTGTGCTGTGGAGGGCTTCCATTTCCTTTGGCCTCCAGTAGCGTCACACTTCATTTTTATGGCCAAGTAAACAAACTATTGCCAAAATATGTGGCCACAGACATCACATATGCTCCATTAATGAGGGCAGAGCCACGAGTAGAGTGTTTGGGACATGTGTGTCTTAAAGTTGGATTTTGATGTGTGTGTGTGTGTGTGTGTTAATGTTCATGAGATTGAATTGAAGTAGATTTTGTAGTTGTAGGACATGCTAAAGTTATTAGTGTGTATTGAATTGTGTAAGTGCTTTCAAACGTGTGTATACATTTCTTTGGACATGCACTGTTTGCTTTTCCGTACACACTGGACCGGTTCGTCATTCTTTTGGAGCCTAGCTGTGTAGAGCAGTTTGTTTTTTTCGCCAACATTTGTGGCTGTAATGAAGCCATGTACGGTAAACAGCGCGGCGGATTGCTGTCACCTCCCACGGATGACACACTCCCCTCCTTTCCTTTGTCCTCGTCTTGTTTACATTTAATTTCACTCAGCATTGCAACGGCAACCCGGTAAAATGGCAGAAAGTCAAGTAACGACAACGACGCAGCTGTAGAGACGACCCACAGAACGGGCAATAAAAAGTCGTACAAGCAACCAACGACTTCTAGTCAGACGTCAGCAGCCACCCAGATTAAGTCTGCTCTCTGATTAAAGGAAACGGGCCATTTTCTCTCCTCAAATCCTGTGTTCTCTTCTTTGTCATTAAAAGAAACGATGAGAGCGAGGCTTGGATGCAGTCCAGAGACTCTTTTGGCTGCCAATCTTTCCCTGATTTGTAATCCACCGCTGGCTTAGTGGCTGACTGGTGAGCTGCAGCATTAACCGACTAGCTCTCTGAATGAATGACTGGCTAACTTGCTGCCTGGTTAAATAGTGCACTGACTGTTCTGCTGATTGACTGACGGACTTTATATTTACTGGCTGGTTGGCTGCCACTTTCATTGTCAAACTGAAGGACTGACTGGCTAGCTGGCAGAATGAGTGAGTGACAAAGATGTCCGTTGGTTCTCGGCACAACGAGAGGGCCGCTAGCTCTGAATGAGCTTCTGTTGTTGGGAGGCGGGCTGGCTTCCTCTAAGTTATCAAAACCTTAGAGTGGTTCTGTAGAAATGCAGACAACAAATGTGAGGGCGTCTTAAAGAGATGGATGATGTGTAAGTTCCATTCCCCGCAGCTCTTCTTCGGTCTCTCATCCACACACAGTCCAAACCAATGAGCTGTTGCTTATGTTCATCGCTGCTCACTTCAGCAGACACAAACACACAGACGTACACAAGGGGCACTGACACACTTGGTATTTCTCAACCGTTCGTGTGCCTTTTTCCTAAATATTTCACCAGCCAATTATTATTTCATACGCTATGTGAATGTGTCTCTGCTTGTCTCGGAGAGACACAGGCAAAAGCAAGAACAAAGGGGCTAAGAAGGAGAAGTAAAGAACAAAAGGAGAGAAAAGGGGGGGGGAATGAGACGGAGCAGCATGAGAGAGAGAGAGAGAGAGAGAGAGAGAGAGAGAGAAAGAGGGCACAAGAAAGAAAAAAAATATTTAGTTTGTGGGTGTTTTGTTTGAATGAATCCATCCATGTACCATGTACATGCAGGAACGTGTGCCAGGGGCTAAACAGATAGACAGAGAAGACAAGCAGACAGACAGAATACATTCTGTGCCAATCACTCCCAGTCCTGCATCTGTTTCACAGTTGCTTTCTCTCTGATGCAGCCGCTGCTTGAACAGATGACTTCCCCGTGATGGACGGACAGACAGACAGACAGACAGACAGACCGAGGGACCGATAGAACCAGACTGACATAACGTTCAGACGGAGAGGGAAAAACAGTGTGGACTGAAAATATGAAATGCAAGTCACTGCATGAGGTCAAACAGCAGGATTTGTGCAACGTCACTTGGAGATGCTAATTGTGTCGAGGAGGCGACTTCTCGAGGTTAAATATTTCCCCTTCTGTAAGACATTTGGGATTAGCAAGTAACTTTCAAGCAGTACACTGCCCGGGCCAACTCTCAGACTTCCAATATCAATGCCAGAAACCTACGAAGGTTATAATGTTCTTACCAGTAACGCTGACTGGTCACAGCTGCTGCATGACTTTGGTTATGGCATTGGCTAATTTTCTTTAATTCTAATAAAAAAACGTTTTACTCTGTGCTAAAGAAAGAACACGCAAACATATTGTATATAATTATAATGCTTAAACCTAATGCCAAATTATCTACATTACATTGTTTTTATGTTTTTGGTAACGGTGTCATAACCGTTGCGGCCATGATCTTGACCATCTGATATCTAGCGTCGTTTCATGATTTTATAATATCTCTGTGTTTGCGTGTCAGTACAATCAAACCCGTGACAGGACAGACAGACGGACTGACAGGCACAGACACAGGCACACGGACACTAACAGACAGGTGATGGTTACGGCCAGTGGCTCCCACCTCCATCCTGTTATGTGATACAGCGCAATGGACTTCACCCGCCACTCCCCCCCCCCCCCCCCCCCCCCCCCCCCCCCCCCCCC